GGGGGGGGGGGAGGGTAGAGGTTTAAACATTTTTTCTTCAAACGATTATCAACTATAAACACGTGAACATTTTAGTAATTTAAAGATTTACTATGTGGGTGCCAAAATTGCTTCAACACGTGTTGGGTATTTTTTCTCTTAACACTGTTGTTCATGATTTTTTTTTCATTTTCATTATTTTAATATAGGAATTTAAGTTAGGTTACACGCAGTGAGTAAATTTTATATGGGAAACGTACGGAAGGGAATGAGGAAGAATGTGATACGCGCAGCGCGCTCAGGGTTGAAAACTGAAGGTCGAGATACAAGGACTTTTAGCCATATGCCCCGTCCCTTCACTTCCCTTCCCTTCCCTTCCCTTTTCTTCCATTCCATAGATGACAGTCCTTGCTCCCGCTAAATGGGAGTTTATGTAAACAAAGATGAAATAAAAACAAAGCTAAGTTCAGAAATTTGATCTGTGTATTTACACTAGGAATAACGAAGACGATATTTTTCACGCAATAAATGTTAAAATCTTAGATACAGTAATGAAGCCAGCTTCCACCACTGGTTCGATAAACTATTAATCTTCCCCCAGTACTGCAAATCTTATTTTTCCCCCTCCATTCATCCCCCTCTAGATCAATTCCCCCATCCAGCTTCTAACATCGCTTCAGACAAACATTTAAAATTTCCAAAATGTATGTATTGATATAAAAAAGATGTATGTAATAATGCAAATTAAAATCAGTCATGTTCCTAACTAATATTTCAAACATCTCCCTCCTCTATTCCACAAATTACAGAAATGTACATATTTTTAAATGTTAAAAACTTTTTTAAGACATACATTTTGTGCGAGACTTCTCGTAAGTTAAAACATCTGTGTATACGAAAGTTTAATAATCATAATTCATCTATGAAAATAAATAAATATTTGATAATTAGGTCACTTTGCAATCATATTTTTCAAACACAAAGAGTATATAATACCCTCCCTACACTCCAAAATTGCGTATTTGTCCAAAGAAATTAGTTTATATATATATATATCCATATTATATATAGAACATTTTTTGCATTCCTTCATCTTGATCTAAGCGGGAGGGGTTGAATGGGGGGGGGGGCTGAGTAAAAAAACGAAACAAAGAAATCTGAAGAGGAGAGCAGCATAAAAAGCCCCGGACAGGTGAGGTTATAAAAACCTTTGTCCCAGCTGATAAAACAAAAATACATATTCATGCCGGATTCTAACTAGGGCCTTTCTTTCAAATCAATATTAATAAAATATAAGTATATTAATATTAGTTTCACACTTTTTGCCATCCGGACGAAAGAATGATAAAAAGGAAAGAATAATAAATAAAACATTAGTTCTGGGGACTAATTAAACTACAAAATAGTTTATAAACTTGTATAAATGCGAAATAACCCGAAATAAACCTTGAACTATTTATCGAAGAACAGTAATTTTGCAGGAAAACTTACAAAGTTTCAGAAACATTATGCAAGAGGTCTGAAGCCTCATAAGTGAATTATCTAAAATTGCAAATTTTCACAAGATGAACAAGTGAAATATTTTGTTGCGCTCTCCTCGCGAAAGATTAATACTGTAGCATGGGGTTTATTAAAAAAAGGGAAAAATGGGAATTGGAATATAATAGCACTTGATTATTTAACGCAAGACACAAGGTGAAAAATGTAAATATGTCACAATGGGATAAAAACCATAAAGTGACTTTACTTATCTAACAAATGAAAAAAATGGATTGATTGATTTAAAACATAGTATGTGGGACAGGGAGGGGGGGCGTTTATTAAGTTGACCCTGATCTGAATAAATGTAAGATTAAATATCTGTATTCTGTTTACCTGTATGCCATGGCTGTGTATTAAGTACTTGCTGAGCTCCTGTTTTGCTCGGCATACTGCTACTGTGGATCATCCCTTCCCTAACCCATTCAAATACTCATTCAAAATTAGTAAAGAACTCAACCTTTGAAAATTACGAGGTGATAAGTTTCAAATTTGTTTTCCTTCTCTTATTGATTATTCGGGGGGTGAAACTGTACGCACTACAGTTGCTTTAAACGAAGAAAAATACGGGGGAAACCCCTAAAATTTCTATATTCCTTTAATGTACATAGGAAACTAAAAGAAATAGATTGATGCCTATGTTTTGCTGATTAATCTACCCATTTTAGTTTAAAAAATTGTTATTAAATTTGGGACACTTTTAAGGTGCAGCTATTTTGTCCTCAATGGCTATTGAACCATGAAAAATACTTTAAAATGAAATTTTGAGGCAAAACTAGATTTCTCCATTTCTCCTTACGTTTTGTCAGTGCCAAACCGACCCAAGCATTTACACTGAATCCCTTGACGTAAACATACTTGGGTTTGTCCTAGAGTACGATTTTAGGCACCCCCTTCTATCGGGTCTGTCCTAGTATAGCACCATAGAATGTTTGTTTAAATTACTATTATCTCTCCGTTATATATCCGTGTACTTCATAGTACATACTGTATTAAACTAGTTTAGAGTTTGAGGTACAGATGCTGCAACTATAAAATTAATAAAAGNTTAGATTGTAAAGTGTGGGTCAAAGAATCGTTCTCTAGGAAATCACCCTTTTTTTAAAATTAATTAGCTGCCCTTTCTTGCCTTTTTAATTTTAACATTGAAATTATAATTTATTACATAATTAAAGAGAAAAAATGTCAAAATTCAACAATATTATTAATTTTAGTGTTTTTGTCATTTAGATTTCTTTATTATATTCTTATTTATTTAAAATCGATTAAGATGAGTTTTTTTCCTGCAAAGTATGGCCATTAGCACTGAATATTTTAGGCAATTAATGCCACTGTCAGTGCACTCTTATTCCATTTTGGGAGTTCCACTTTAATTTCAGTCGTGGTTTCACTTGACCTAAAGGGTTGATAGATCACTGCGCGAGGGGGAGGGGGTTTGAACCCTGGGGATTTAAGCGTGGCTTCAAATCCAGCGCGTCAGTCTTTGTGTTAAATAAGTTTTTCACCTTTTTAACAAAATTATATCCACACAGTACATAGAAATCACAGAGTGTGGGTAGTTCTTAGTAAAATTTATTTATTATGTATTTTAAGTGTACTGAAAGGACCACGGAGGGTGATAGGATGGTTGGTAAAATATAACGCACCTCCCTCCCTCACTGTTCACCTTTGTTTGATAGACGCGACTCTCAGCTGTATATATCGGACCGGTACACAAAGCATCTGACTGTTGGCAGCGCCGGACCGGTACAAGACGCCATCAGCTGGGAAACGGGCCGGGTCATTAAGCATCAAATCCACAAGCCGGGTCAGTACTCACAGTAAACAGTGTCTTATATCAGGAATTCCGTGACTATCCCAAACTCAGCTGAGAAAAAAGCCGGTAGGGGACAAAGCAAACTGGCCTGAACTACGCCGTGTCGGGTCGAACATACATCCTGTCGCAACGGTACGGGCCAACCTATCTAGCCTTGGAAACTAACCCCGCTTTCACACGCTGGTCGCGGAAACATTATTGGGACAACCTTTAAACAGAGAATACAGAACAGTCTACATAACAGGCGTTGACCCTCCTTAACATGTTTCGTCCACTGCCCCCCCCCCCTCCCCTCGAATACTAGGCTCTCGCTCAATTCAATCTTGTTTAATTTGCGGAGTAGAGTCCGAATTGTCTGGATTAAAGTGTCAAATTTGTATATCAAAGTACACATCATATTCATACACCTTCAATCGAGGCCTGAAAGGATTTTGTAGTTGTATAAAAGACATTGACCTTCTTAAAACTTTCCCGCAAGTAACAAAGAGATAAATTTGCCGCGCAGCAGTCATGACTTTTTTCAAAATCAAAATCTATCAACTTAGATAAAGTAACAGCTAAATTTTGCCAAAAAATCGAGTGTTAAATTGCAGTAATAATGTCCTGTATCTCAAATAAGGGGTTTGTCATGTGTAAATGATTATTTTTTCTTTAAATTAAAGAAAAATTGAGTGCTAATTCGGAAATAAATATTTGTGAATTTTTATTTCTATCCTGTCTTGTAAAATGATAGCAGGTTTACAAATTATTTTTTTACGTATTTTGATAAGCTCATCCCTTTCTTTTCTTCTAGATTAATGATTCTATAATGAACGCATCGTTTAAAGCAAAAAATTTAACATGGAAATTTTAGATCAAATACAAAATATGGCCAGGTTTAGAAGAATTGCTGTTTGTACTGATCCTCATGCTTGCAGGAGAGTTTTTTTTCTAATTTTAGTTTTGGGAAAACTGAAGACTGTCATGCTTGAGCTTATTTATATAGCTCAAATTTTCAACCTCCAGTTTTTGTTTTGATTCAAATATAGCTCCTTAATAGCACTTAAGGGAAAGGCAAAATATTTATCTTAATCTATAATAAAATAAAACAAGACATTCAATATGTTGAGTTTAGCCGGCCAAACGGCTGAACCGATTTTTTCAAAAAAAAATTCACGGACGTCCTTCAGCTAGTAGACTTAAATGTGTGATAAGTTAAAAATCTATTTTTTTAGTCTTCATTCATTATTTTGACCCCTAAGTTTTTCAGGTCAAAAAACATTTTGCATGCGGTGCGCCCCTGACTTTATATCTATCTTGCTATTTTCAGCTTTTGTGCCCCCCTTCTTTAATAATTCATAGCTACAGGTCTGCGAGGGGGGGTACAGGAGCACGTGCCCCACCCCTTTTACCTCCGACGGGGGGCACAGGGACTGACAAAAAAGAAGAAAATTAAAAGAATGAAACGAAAATTAAAAGAAAGTAGGACTAAAGGGAGAAAAAATGGCCTAAAATCTAATTTTTGTTTTCAATATTATGTGTACAGGATTATATTTTCTCCAAATTAAAGAAAAATATGGGAATATTTATTTCTAATCCTGTTTTGTGAAATGATAGGGTTTTAATTATTTCTTGAGTAATTTTTAGAAGCAGTTCCCCTTCTTTTTTATAAATTAATTATTCTAATGAACCATCGTACAGCTAAAAGTAAAATAACAAAAAATTGAAATTTAATGTAGAATATGGCCAGGTTTAAGGGAAGCTGTTTGGTTAAGGATCCTCAAGCTTACAGGGGAGTTTTTTTTTTTCGAATTTCAGTTTTAAGAAAACTGGAGATTTCATGCTTGGTCTTTTCAGGCATTTACAATTTACATCCTTTACTTTCCCTGTATTAAAATAAATATTGAATATTCGTGATTCAAAAATGTTCAGTAGCACATTTATTTACAGTTTAACTAAAATCTCTACATATTTGTTGACTTTAAAAGTCACTATAGTAAAATAAAGAGATCTAAAAATGGATATTTCTAACATTTATTTAAAAACGAAAGTTTTGAAATATTTGCATTTAAGGCGGAGTTAAAATTGGTTGATTTAGAAATTAACAAAGGAATTAATGATGAATATTTGTGGGTACTTCATGGGAGTGATGTAGAGCTTCATGTTGGTGGAGCAGATCAACAGGAGCGTTATATTTGTAAAATTAGATTGTAAAGTAGTTTCATTAATCATATTTGTAAAATTAGATTGTAAAGTAGTTTCATTAATCATATTTGTAAAATTAGATTGTAAAGTCGTTTCATTAATCATATTTGTAAAATTAGATTGTAAAGTCGTCTGATTAATGATAAATTAATTCCGGGTCAGTATGATTATGAATGTATAGTGTATATGGTAGGTTAAACATATACTTTTTAGCCGTTAGTCATTATTTTGACCATTTTTTGAGTTTATCAGATCAAAAAGAAATTTCGTATGCGGCGCGCCCCCTAATTACTTATATCTTCAATTTCTTAATTTTGTGCCCCCCCCCCTTATACAAATTCCCAGCTACTGGCCTGCTCATTGGTGAGCACTTTCTCTTCATTTAAAATAATATCAAAGGTTCAGCTATTCCGACTGACGTCTGGTTTACCCAAAATAAACTGGAGGGGGGGGGGGTGACCTCCCCCTCTATTTCCTTATTGCGATACAAATCTATAACATATGATTCATGTTTGGAGAGCCCTTGGGATCTACTTTAATAATCTGCAAAAAATTTTATTATTTATTGCAAAATCAAGTCTTTTAGCGAAAAATGTGCAAAAACGAAAATGCGCAAACTCTAATAAATTACACATTTTTGAAAAGCCCTTGACCCAGCAAATACAAATATCCAAAAATATTTGCAAAAATTTAAAAACCTAAATGACAAAGAAAAACAAAAACTGGTCAAATTCCATTGTTAGGAATCAGTGCAAAAATCTACGCAAAATTTTTTTGCAGAAATTTTGCAATCTGCTTCCTTGTGTTTTCAAAGAGCTATAAAATGTTGAAATCCAATGACTGGAAGTAGGTCTAAATTTGGATTTACTCTGGTAAAAGAAAATAAGGCAATCCAGGCAGTATGCCGGATGACTCAGGCAGAAGGTATAAAAGCCCAGCTTTTAGCCTAAACTGAGGGGCATATATTAGTTAGAAAAGTAAAAAAATTTAATAGCCTGAGAGTGAGACCAGTACTTTTTGAGTTATCGCAAAAAACAACAAGGGGGTCACATTGATTCCCCCCCCCCCCTCAGTCGGAATAGGGTCAATCTTTTCTTTGGGGACTGTCAGCTCTTCTTTGGAAAACCCATAGAATTTGATATAAGACCCAATGCTCTTAATAAAAATTGGGGGTCTTTGATGAAAATTTTGGGGTCTCCGATGAATATCTTGGGGATTACGCTGAAAATCTGGGGGTCTCCTTATAAAATTAGGGGTCTCCAATGAAAATCTGGGGGTTTCCGATAATGCTCAAATTTCTTCTCAGACTCACAGTTAAGGTGACAGAAAATTGTCACAAGACACTACTTCTAGGAAGATAAAATATATAATTTGGGGGTCTCCAGCAAAGGGGGTTTGCTTATTTTGCTTTTTGACTGCCTCCTTCTAAAACGAATGAAGCATGCCTAAATTTTTTTCTTTCTTCTTGAATTTTAGATAAATGTATGAATATATGATATCATTATATTAAATTAATTGAAAAATCTAAGTTGCTACCAAAGAATTGTACAAAATTAAACATACCGTGCGATTTGAAAAACTTGTGAACGAACAAAATTCTTAACGTTATTAATCTCTTTAAAGGCAAGGGGAACTACATTTTTTTGGAAAGATATTTAAGTCTTTTTTGTGTGTTAATTTTTGCCTAATTTTATTGATCTAATAGCACTACAATAACAGAGTTGAGATATAAAAAAAAACCATAAAGTAGTTCAGCTAGATCTGCCTAGTTAAACAACTTCTCTAATACCAATGAGTTTAACTAGAGAAGTGGTTCAACTTAACATGCGCAGTTCAACTACTTTATAAATCCATACCTCAGATCGTAAATCTTGAAATTATACAGTTTGATTGATAAAAAAGTGTTTACAATTCTTCGAAAATTGTAAGAAATTGATTTTTGATTTCCTTTAGCTTAAATGATCATTGATCAATCTGCATCATTGATATTATTTTTATATTTTCTTTAATTGATGTATTGCTTAATATGTGTTCACAAATGTCAGCTTGTATAATATATGTATCAGCAAATGCCAGTTTTTCTATTATAATTGTGTCAACAAAAATTTCACATATGCTACGCCTATTGATTCATAAATTTGCACCCCCTTTCCAAAATCCTAGTTACAGCCCTGCCAAGAACCACATTGTAACATAAGTGAACAAAATATCTCCCTTTTGATTTATTGGAGAGGAGGTACGTTGTAAGATTGTTGAAAAGAAAAGCCAGTCAAATATTTGGTTAAATTTTATCAGCAAAATAGATTAGATTGAAACGACCATGATTATTACTTTTTTTACTTCACAAAAAGGAACAATTTTCTGGAAAAGGGCACATTTTTTAATTGATACTGATTAGGCTAATGCTTACACAATTAATTTGTTTAAATATTATGTAGCTAACAATCGTGTTGATTAATTTCATGAGGAACTCTCAGACTTTTAACACTTTTTTTCTTTTATATATTCTTCTAATAGCCCAATCTAAAACTTTTCAAGGGCTTTCCAGCGGAAGGGGAAAAGCGTTTCGCGAAAATGTCGCCTTTTTTCGCGGAATTCCGCGTTAATCTGTTTCGCAAAAACTTTTGCGGATAAAAAATGTGGGAGATGCCGTCATTTTCCTGACTCGAAAAGTGTTTAATTCTGTTAATTTTCTCCATTGCTTCTTATAAGCAAGAACAATTAGTTAGAACCCGCATATGAAAACAACAACTTTAAAGAAACAGAAACACATCTAATACATACTTGATCAGACAAAGCTTTGCATGGTGGGTCACTTAAAATCACACTTACGTCAGTTTTAATAGGATCTTAACGATCACCAAGGTTCTCTGTTTCTAATATCCATTTTATTAATTTGTGTTCCTAAATTTGAAGTTTTTATAACTAAATTAGGAGTAGCGTAATCATATTTTTTAATGTTGATTTTTTAATAAACCTTCAGTTGTTTGATTCTGTGCTGAAGCTATAAATGGTCAATTTGCTTAAAAATATAATGCTTTGCGCAAAAAGAATATTTGCGCGAAAATTGCGCAAAAAATTTGGTCATTTCTACTTTAAAATCAACGATCATGCAAAACAGTGATAACCAAAAAATAACTAGACACTTATTAAATTGGACTTTTAAAGTTATAACTTAATTCTAAAAGTCTCCTTCCTATTTCAGAGTTTTCTGGTTATTACTGTATTTACTTTTAATGATGATAAAAGGGTCAATGCATTATTTTGTATTGTTAAGATTTATTTTCTCACAACAAATGCAAATCATACACAAAATACTCTAGTTACACTTGAAAAGATGTAGCAATTTGTACATAACAATCTGATGTACAGTATGTATAGGTAATGTACAGAGTGACCCAATAAACATGGGAATTGATGGACGACTTTAATATCGTCTTTGATTTCCGTACACCAAAAACAGTTTAAAAGTCTAATGCGCTTTCCAAAATGTGGTCTACCTTCTTTGTATCTTTGAAATTGACGGAGATATTAAACATTTAAACAGTTTTGTTGATTTTCAAATTCAATAAACTGGAATCTGGAAAAATATTTCCTAATATCTCCGTCAAAAAATGATAGACCGCATTTTGAAAATCTCGAGATAAGTAGTTTTCGGTGTTAAATGTTTTGACTGTGATACTACAAAATTATGTTAACGAAAAAATTCCGCACGGAACAAAAACATTTAATTTCCATGTTTATTGGGACACCCTGTATAATAAGCAAAAATAGCCGGAATTGTACGGTAAGAGAAATAATTTTAACATTATTTATGAAACAAACAGTATTATAGCTTACAATGAAATGAAACTTGTTTACTTGATTATAAATTACTCGTCATTACACCCAGAATCGGAATAGTATTTTATGAATCGGGTAGATCGCAATATTGCAGATACCTAGCATTTTTGTTTAAAAATATTATTATTGTATTATTACTTTTTTACTGTCTCTTTATTATGAATTTTTTGAGACTTCAAAAAGAAAACTTTGGAGTTTTGTTTAACGACAGTTAATTAGGGCTGGGCATGTGCCTGTTTTTTTTTATCGTTCGTCACTTTCCGTCCTTTCCCGTAAAAGAATGATCCTTCCCCAGGAACGGGTTGGGCGTTTCCTCCTTTTTGATAATCGTTAGTTCCGGTCAATTCGTTCACGTAAAAGAATGATTTTTCCCCAGGATTCCTGCTTTTTTATGATAGTTAGTTCCGTTCCGTTCGTTCCCGTGAAATAACGATAATTACCCAGGAACGACGCCCAGCCCTACAGTCAATACTCTCGTAATAAACCGACTCAATGAGGTACTGTACTGTCTTTATCAAATAACATTATAAAATACAACAAAATCTTTCCAATGATTTGTCAACTATATCAGGAGGAATTTTTGTCAATAATCGACAAATTCACTATTCACTGTCAGCTGGATAATGTCGTCTGTGCACAATATATTTTCATATTTGTGCGCTTCTGCAAGTGCAATACATCAAAGACCTACATTGAATGGCCCCTGTAGAAGTTAGCAAGGTTCATAATACTGGCATGATCAGTAAATGAGGGGGGTGCAGGAGGGAAACCAAGGGGAGGCTCACTCATCACTATCTGTCCAGAATGGATACCAGATATCTGAAATATTAAAATATAGAATCAGATTATCTGATTGATTTGAAAATATATATATTCAATATAAACAAATTTAACCAAAAAAACAAAACAATAGGTACCTGAGGCTGTTGTTCCTCTCGCTCAGGCGGCGAATCCTTTTTGTCCCTCTTCAAAATCCGCGGTTTTTTCGGTGTACCGTTTACAGTCAGTTTTCCTTTCTCGTGCCATTCAAGATGGCGCTTGAGCGTGTTTCGTTTGTAACACTTCAGAGGGCACAGTGGGCACTGGTGGTTTTTCTCCTAAATCAAGAATCAAGATAGAACTTTATTAATTGATTATTTACAAACCAATATGAGAAAACTTGAAGGGACTGTTGTTGTTACTTCAAGTAACCTTCCATTTAAAAAAGAGAGTATGCCCGATGCTTAAACCCGAAGTTTAAACCATTAGCGTATCAATCAAATGTAAGATATCGTCGTTTTTTTAAGCTTGGGAAATTATAAATGCTGATAATTTTCCTCCCAATGCGCGAAAAGCAAAAGTCACTTTTGTAAAAAATAAAATTGAAAATAATAAATTTGTTCACAGTTAAATATGGATCCATCTCAATCTCATTTATTCTTAATCAGACAAAGCTTTAAAGTAAGGTCCCTTTATGATGAGAGGGATATGGTTTGTGCACACCATTTACTACAGTGACATATATTAGGACTACAAGGAAAGGAACTAATTTGATTAATTTTATTCAAAATTTAAATTTACCTTTTTATGAACAGATCTCATGTGTTCGTCCAAATAGCCAACTTTCTTACCGCACACTGGACAAATCACCTAAAATTCAAATATTTTATGATCAATAATACATTCATTATTTGTAAGAAACAAGATGAGACAGCTTCCTGTAGTTTAGGAATCATGTGACTCCCAGGGGGAAAATATGACCATGTCCCCGCAAACCCATTCGGCCCAAGAACACTATAAATGGTAGGTAAGGTCAGGAAGCGTCCTGGCATTTCCAAAATGTTCTCTGTCTCTTTTGTGCTTTCAAAATTACCCGAGATATAATTGTTTAGATTTTTGTTCAGATTTCCACCTGAAAAAATTATAAATTTCTTCGGTAAATTGAAAGCACATAAAAGGCAGACAACATTTTGGAAATACCAAGAACAAGGGGAATTTAGTGATTGATGTCTCAAGAATCATACTTGTAAAAGTTTATTGACAACTAAATGCTGCAAAATTATTTCAAAAATAAAAAAACCAATCTTTTAAGCTGACTTCAACTGTCATGCTTCGTGTTTATTCTCATATTCATAAAAAGTTTTTTTGCCATAACAAATCTATACCTTGAGATTTTCACCGCTGTGACATTTCTTGATATGGTTTTTCAGTTGTCCAGCGCTTAACTCTTTCCCACACTCAATACACAGCTCCTGAACATCATAATCTTGAGTTTTTAAACCAAAAAATTGCTTTACCACTCAGATATTTCAGAAATTTACATTGCAACCTTCGCGATCAGAAAATGTGCCTGTCTGCAGCTCAATATCTTTATAGTGTTACTATTTAATTTTTCTACAGTTGCATAAAAGTATTGAAGAAATTTATATATATACTTTGCTTGTCTGTCTGTTTGTTTGCTTGTATCCAATAAACGTCAAAACGGCTAAACCGATTGTGCCCAAACTTAGTGTGGGACCTCATGTGGCTCCAGGGAAAGTTTATGAAAAAAGCCTAGTAATAACAGCCTATTATTTATAAATTCTCATCGATAGAGACTAGTAATGGCTTATTTAAAGTGCAAAGTAATTAGATATTTTTTTTATCACTTAAATATTTAGGAATTTATTTAGAGAACAATTTGGAAGTGCATCTTAATGATGATCTATCATTTTTAATTGTGATACATTTTTTAGAAAGTTTCAGATTTAAATTTAAAATATATATATATATATATATATATATCTACTTACTACAGATTTTTTCAAAATATTCTCCTTTCTGCAGTAGTTCTGATTTAAGTTTTGATATATATATATATTTACTCACTACAGATCTCTGCTTTAAGTTTAGAACAATGTAAACACTAAAACTAATAAGTCGAAAAGTTTTCAAAAATCTATTTTATACACAGAAAAACAACGAGGTGTTCTTTCCGTAGTAAATTCTGGCCTGCATTTAGTTAAAAATCTAGATATGAACAATAAGTAAAGCAGAAACCAGGAGCACTTTTCTTATGGGGTGGGGGGAGATTTGTTTTTTAATGGTTGTGGCAATATCCAAATAAGTCGAAACCAAAAAATATTTTGGAATAAGTCCTAATTTCTGTAACCAAAAAAGTCCTGAGGAAAGTAAACCATAGAATTGTGTACTGCCAAACATTTTGTAGAAAATATAGTCCTTACTTTTATTAAAAGTTTTTACTCCCTTGATATTTTAGTTAACTGAAGAATTTTCATTAGTTAAAATATTTTTATGGACTTAGGGGGGGGGGGGCGTAACCATGTGGTCATTAAGAGCTGAAGTGGAAAAAATAGAAGTTTTTCAGTTGTTGCGTGTTTCACAGCAGAATTTAACATTAAAAGAGAAACCTTTCACAGGAAAGACTATCTTAATTATAAAATTGATTATAATGTATTCTAATGTATTCTCTTTATATGAAGTTTTATACCTTGGTTACTGAATGTATTCTCTCTTTATATGAAGTTTTATACCTTGGTTCCAAAATGTATTCTCTTAATATGAATATTTATACCTTGGTTCCTAAATGTTTTCTCTTTAAATGGAGTTTTATACCTTGGTTTTTAAATGTGTTCTCTTTATATGAAGTTTTATACCTTGGTTCTTAAATGTATTCTCTGAATGTGAAGTTTTATACCTGGGTTCTTAAATGTATTCTCTTTATACGAAGTTTTATTCCTTGGTCCCTAAATGTATTCTCTTTATATAAAGTGTTATACCTTGGTTCCTAAATGTATTCTCTGAATGTGAAGTTTTATACCTTGATTCTTAAATGTGTTCTCTTTATATAAAGTTTTATACCTTGGTTCCTAAATGTATTCTCTGTATGTGAAGTTTTATACCTTGGTTCCAAAATATAATCTCTTTATATAAAGTTTTATACCTTGGTTCCTAAATTTATTCTCTGAATGTGAAGTTTTATACCTTGGTTCTTAAATGTATTCTCTGAATGTGAAGTTTTATACCTTGGTTCCAAAATGTATTCTCTGAATGTTAAGTGTTATACCTTGGTTCTTAAATGTGTTATCTTTATATGAAGTTTTATACCTTGGTTCCTTCTCTGAATGTGAAGTTTTATACCTTGGTTCTTAAATGTGTTCTCTTTATATGAAGTTTTATACCTTGGTTCCTAAATGTATTCTCTGTATGTGAAGTTCCATATCCCGCTTGTCATAGAACCCTTTCCCGCAACTGCTGCAGAAATGATTTTTTACTTTCTCATGGACCATCCTGATGAAATAGATTAATTAAGTTTGGTCCTATTTTTTAATTTTTTCTTTATTAAAAAAGAATGAGAATAAATGAAAATTTAAGATCAAATGAACAATAAATTTATTTTCATTGAGCAGAGATGAGATCAATAACATTTTTAATTATACTTACTTAATATGACTGGTTATTTTGTTTGGCAGGAGCTCTTTGTGACAAATGGGGCACTGTCCTTTAATTCCCAGATGGGCGGAATTAAAATGTCTCTGGAATTCAGCATTTTTAACATACACCTGAAATAATATAAAAATAAATATCAATAACAAATCGGTCAGTCATTTTTCCGGAACTAACTAGATAAGAAAATAAGAGAATTATGGCATTTGTAAGTTCTAAATTTTCGAGGTATTCCTAATATTATTAGCATAATTTAAACCTTCGGGCACTGAGAACACTGTATCTTGTTTTTGCTCTCCCCTTGATGAAGTTGTATCATATGATTCTTCATATCTTTCACGTTTTTACCGCAGATTCTGCAGGGCTTAGCCTAGGAATACGGAGTTAAAGTAAATTAGAGGGGAATTTGATTTTTATATTTAACTAAGAAGTATAAGTGGAAATCAGAAACTAGTTTTATTGTAAATAAGCAGAAAAGGTCTGGCCCTCCTGCTTTCAACAATTTTTGGTGGTGTTAAAATGAATAACAAATAGTTCTAAAGCTTGCATGTTACATGATACAGTAATTTCTTGTTTTAATATAATAATAATTCTATTATCCATTATCAAAAATCCCAAAATCTTATTTACCTCGTACATGTGAGTTTTTTCATGAAGTTTTAGTAAATACTCGGACCCAACTCTAACATCACACTAGACAAAAATAAAGATAGATTATGAATTTGCCCCGACAAAAGATCTATTTGGTCGGCTGAGAATGCGCGCGTAAGGTTAAATCTTCATCTGGTTGAGCGAACTCCCTGAAAAAAGTGTTCCTGTGCCCTTAACAGGGTATCGTCATGAAAACCAGGATAGGAAACCAAACTTGTGATGAATGGAGCTAGGCAGTTTCGTTAATACCAATCTTTTTGTTACGAAACGTTATTACATATCGCTTCTTCATATCCTCCATCTTTCTAATTTCATAAATCAAAATCTACATAAATAATTAGACCCCAAAAAGGAAAGTCGGGAGTTTCGTTCAACGATACTCTCTTCTGGCTCTGTAATACCTGTGAGCACGAAAAGTCCTGTTCAGCATGATTCCTACCAATATGAACAGCAAGATTTGAACAAACTAGACCGCAGAGTGAACATTTCCACCTATATACAGTTCATTTAAAATATGTAATATCAAAAGCGCTATCATTAGAGTTTCTAAATTTTTGAAAATTTCACTAAGGCTCGAAATTACAATGATTCCAACGAAAAAATTTCTTTTTGTTTAATTTCCAAGAAAATAAGACGTTTTTAATATATCAGGCTTAAAGGACACTTCGCGCTCATCTTCTATTTTAACTTTTAATTGTGACTTTATCCGTGAACATCTTCTCTTTGTAATAAAACAATAAATAACAACAAGATGTTTTAAATATTTTTTCGCGCATTTACAAAATTTAACAAAAATCAAAAATTTTTGGACACACATTTTTGTAATTTTGAGCATTTATAAACCTCATGTGAGAACCCACACAAAATTTGGGCCCGATCGGTTCAGCCCTTTTGACGTTTATTGTGTATACAAACGGACAGACAGATAGAAAACAAACAAACAGACCGACAAGCAAAAGTGTATAGAGAATAGATTTACTTTATTGCGTTGAATGTTGAATATTTCATAACTGCTTTTTTAAAAAAGTTTTCAAAGCGATTTTGTTTTAAAGTTTTTAACCTACCTGTCTTTTTTGTCTCTTGTAGAGGAAAGCTTTTCTGAGTTTTGTCTAACTTCGTCCAATAATTTATTAAACTTCTCATTGGCTAACCTAAACATTGGCATATTTGCTTAGAGTTTTAAAAATTTTTGTAGAAATGAACAATGGGATGTAAACTTATATATTATAAAGGGGGAGGGAGGATTTGTCAAGAAAATGCCATTTCTTTGTAAGGAGTGGGAATTTTAACATGAACCAGCGTAAATAAGTTTTTAGATGGCGGAATTAAATAAAAATTGTTGTATACAAAAACAAAACAAATTTTCAAATAGCAGGGTGCCAAATGCCTTTTTTTTGAAGAAAATAAAATAACTTAAAGGGACTGTAGGCGTAATTCAAAGTGAAATTCAATTTACATAGTAGTATGTCCGATTTACAACGATACCCTTTAAACCTTTGTTTGATTAAGGATTTCGTAGATATTCTTATTTTTATAGCGCCAGTGGGAAATTAAGTGCCAAGAAACCACGCGAGTGTACACTAGCAAGGAGTGTACATTGTACACTGTAACCTCGAGTCTCCCTGCACTCAATCCTCAGCTATACAAATGAGGGTATCTAACTCATCATCGTTCGTACTAAGGTTTAAAGGGTACCGTTGTAAACGAACATGCCTCTCGATAAATGGAAGGTCACTTGAAATTACGCTTACAGCTAGTCCTTTTAAGGTATGAATATTAACTGCTAATAAAGGTGGGGAAAGGAAACCATATTATCCCTACTTGATATCAAAGTTTATTGGAAATTTGAAATTCTGTGATCTGGTTGTTCCCGTCTGCTCTTCATCTTTAACTTTCAGGTCACAGTCTAAATCGTTACTGTCATCATACTAAATAAACAGAAGATATAAACGAGTTAATAGGAGATATATCGTTATTGTCATTAAAATAAACCAAAAGGAGATAAATCGCTACTGTTAAACTAAATAAACAGGAGTGAATCGTTATTGTTAGATTAAATAAACAGGAAATAGGTCGTTACTGTCATTAAACTAAATAAATGGGAGAGGAATCGTTATTGTTAGATTAAATAAACAGGAGCTAGATCGCTATTGTTAGACTAAATAAACAGGAGCTAGATCGCTATTGTTAGACTGAAAAAAAACAGGAGCTAGATCGCTATTGTTAGACTGAAAAAAAACAGGAGCTAGATCGCTATTGTTAGACTGAATAAACAGAGCTGAAAACTTTAAAATTTTTGATATCGAGAGCAATTCTTGATCACTTTTTTTGTCAGGAGATAGATGTAAGTCGAGCCGAAGAATGGCCTGAAAAAACGTTGGATACTAGGGTTAAACACATTTTAGTCAATTCATTAACTAAAATGTTTTCTTCTTTCCAAATTAATATTCTCAATTAAAATACTTACATCGGGAAAATCGTCTAAATCCCCTTTCCAGTTATCAGGTTCCATTTTAATTTTTTTCCTAAACAGAACAACGGGTTTGAACACATCTATAAGTTAATATGAACTAACAATTTTGAAATCCAAGATTTTTTTTTATTTTCGTCTTACGAATATTTCGAATTAATATTTCGATTTTTTTTAGTTTGATTATGAGAATGAGTAAGCCCCAATGAGTTTGATTATGAGAATAAGTAAGTCCTGTTGGCCGACAAAACCGTAGAAAAAATAATTAACCCATTTTAAACCATACCAACAGAAGTGTATTCTTCAAATGCTTAAAAATTTTAAATTTAACGTTTTTCTGAAGAGGGGCACCAAGAAATCAAAATATCTAATCCTTTGTTGAACCCATACTTGCCACTGTAAACTGATCACTGGTATTATTTCAGTTTTTTTCGTAAGCTATATCAATCTTCCTATTTATCTACCTATTTATCTACCTATTTATCTTCTTATTGGATAATTTATCTACCATACTTATCTACCTATATATCCGCCTATTTATCTACCTATACATCCGCCTGTTTATCAACCGCCAACTTATCTACCTATTTCTTTACATGCAGTATACACTACAGTTTACAGTAAAATTCACAAAGAGGCGAAATTTATTGACAATTAATCAGACGACTTCACTATCGGTCGTGATAAGTAAAATAGTTTCCGGCATTAATTTTAAAATCATTTTTTTAATTCTTGAAACGAAAATCACATAGTAGCCCTAGTTCTGCTATTTTTAAAATATGGTCGGTTTTTTGTGCTTTCAAAATCACTGGATATATGATCGATTTCTTTCAAAATAAATATTTTTGGCACCAAAAAGACAGGGCCATGGTTACTTTGTGATTTTTATTGAAAAATTATACTTGTAAAATAAGGTTAACAAATAAGGCCGTAAACTATTTCAAAATCTTAAATTTGTCTCTCAATTGTCAATAAATTCCACTTCTTTGTAAATATCGCTGTATTTATCTATATATTTATCTAACTATTTATCTACCTATTTATCTACCTATTTATCTACCTATTTATCTATCTATTTATCTAACAATTTATCTATCTATTTATCTACCTATTCATCTACATATTTATCTACCTATTTATCTACCTATTTATCATCTATTTATCTATCTATCTATTTATCTACCTAATTATCTACCTATTTATCTATCTATTTATCTACCTATTTATCTACCTATTTATCTACCTATTTATCTACCTATTTATCTATCTATTTATCTACCTATTGGAAGACCCCTTAGGACGCCCTCTTTTCTTCCTTTCCCTTATTCTTGGCCTCTCCTCATAATCAAGATCTTCCAGTTCTTCAAGTTCTTCAAGATCTTCAAGATCTTCAAGATCTTCCTCTTCTTCCTCCTCCTTCTCTTTCTCTTCCTTCGCTGCCTTCTCCTCTTTCTCTTTCTGTAGCAAGTACATCTTCTTAAACTCCTCCTAACATAAAAATATATTTACATACATAATATATGTATATCTGATAAGTAACACAGACATTTTTCCATTTTGTTTCTGTTTCGTGCAAACCTTGGCAACATGAGTTTATGTATATGTATTTTAAAAGATTTTTATCATTTATTTTTTATTGTAATAAGTTTTTGGTATGAAAAACAGTTGAAAAAATGAATATATTAAAGTAAATTAGATAATGATAACAATATTCTCAAAAAATGTTACCTGGATCAAAAATTGGACTTCTGCTTTTGTAAATTCTGACATAATTAGTTCAGGCTCCGCCTAGATAGGTAGATAAAAATGCTATAGATAGATATATTTTATGAATATCTGATCTGTAGATGAATAGGTAAATATATAAATGTCTATATATATACAGGGTGTCTCAAAAAAAACTGTGCAGTAGGGGTATTAGTAACTGAAGAAACAATTTTCGTTCAATTTTTACGTTATATATGTATATATACCAGGCTGCGCCCATCTTCTATTTCAATTGTGAACATGTTCTCTTTGTATACATTGTAAAACAAGAACAAAACAAACAAAAATTGCGGATTTAATAAAAAAAAAACGTGAAAAATTTACAAAAATCAAATTTTGTTAGAGTAAAATTTTTGAAAATTTGATCCTCCATAAACCTTACCTGGGGTCACGCGAGGTCCCACAAAAAATTTGGGCCCGATCGGTTCAATGTACAATGTACGTACACTGTACATTGCAAAACAAAAACAACAAAAATTTCACGGATTTAATGAACGAATTTTGTGGATTTTCCAAATTTAATGAACATCGAATTTTGTTGGAGGTAAATTTTTTAAATTTTGATCGTCCATAAACCTTTCCTGGGGTTACGTGAAGTCTCACAAAAAATTTGGGCCCGATTGGTTAAGCTGTTTTGACGTTTATTGGATGCAAACAAACAAGCAAAAAAACAGACACCCAGACAAGCAAAGTATATATATAGAATAATATATTACATATGTACCTGCAAGGTAAATATATCAGCTGATTTTAAACAAGAAAAAACCAGACCGACGGTCAGCTTATTTTGATACAGTATGCCATCTTAATACAGGAGTTTAACACATGTTATCCAGTAAATGTGGAATTAAAGTGAGTTCCAAGTAACACTCCATATAAAAGTTACATTTCTGATTTAAAACGGCACATTTAAAACCAAAGAGAATAGAATATATATTAGAGTGGAATTTACTAGAAAAAAGTGTAAAACGGCCATTTTGTTGTACTGTTTCCATACTGCAGGTGTACTTCACATATTTGTGCTATATAACCTTTTGGACCTTGGACCATAATTTTATAGAAAATCTAAAATTAATATTAAAAGAAAACAAAATTATGAAATAGGCTGGTTTCATAATTGACCAATGATTATTTCACATAGACTCTATGCCTTTCACTTTACAAACGATGATTTTCCGTTATAACTACAAATCAAATGATGTTTTTTATTCAGCTAATTCATTTTATAAAGTTTATTTAAAAGCTTTAAAAAATCCAACAGTCTAGGGAACATACTGTATTAATGTACTCTACTGCATATAATTTGTGACCATTTACATGATTTGTACACTTTGAACTCTCTTTCAGGCTGAAAGGGACTGAGAAAATTCATACCGATGGATTGGCTAAATTCTGCTATAATATATATTCTATTCTCTTTGTTTAAAACCATGCATCTGAGCAACAATAAACAAGATATTATCGTTTCCTTTCATGAAAATATATTTTATCTGCCAATTCAACCATCCATTCATTTTGTTGCATGAATATGAAATTTGCTTTTGTGTCCCTTCAATTAGATAAAAGAAACCCTAAAGGCAGACTTTATTTTGGGAACCTAAGCAAAGCACATTTTTCATTTCGTTTTGTTTCATAAGTTAAACTGATTCCTGAGCATAAAAGTTTTACATTCCAGAACAAAGATGTCTCTGCCAGTTCAAATATTTTTCCTTTAAAGTTCTCCTTTTCTTCGTCGTTGCAGACCTACAATATATAAAATATCTCTTAATTTCTTCTGTATTATTTTAAGCTTGTAAAGTAATGTTTTGTGCTATAAACAAAACGCCAGTGATTGCAGATTAAAAATTATATATTCATGAACTTTTTAAAAACAATTTGAAAATTAATAAGATTAATGGATATTAAATTATTAACAATAACTTTAAAGGAATCCAGATTTTGCTAATAGATTTCTGATTTTAATTTACAATGCGAACATTGCAAACTGGCAGTTAAAATATTCTCAAATAAGAATCATTATAAGGCATTTGCCAATCTATGTTGCCCGCAATGCACCGTAAAATTCCAAAACAGAGAGAGGGGGGATTGAATTTTAAATTTAAATTTTCTACTAACACTGCACCCTGCAGATCCTGGTGATACACATTAGAGGGCAAGTCTGAAGGAAAATATTATTATTTTGGTCGAATAAATAAAACCTTTTCATCTTGTTCGCTTCCAGTTTCCTTTCCAGTATCATCTTCTTCTTCTTCTTCTTCTTCTTCTTCTTCTTCTTCAGTTTCGTCCTCTGGTTCTTTTTTCTATACAAAGGGGTATATGGTTCCATTTTCTATACAAAGGGGTATATGGTTCCTTTTTCTAAACAAAGGGGTATATGGTTCCTTTTTCTATACAAAGGGGTATATGGTTCCTTTTTCTATACTAAGGGGTATATGGTTCCTTTTTCTATACAAAGGGGTATATGGTTCCCTTTTCTATACAAAGGGGTATATGGTTCCTTTTTCTATACAAAGGGGTATGGATCGTTTTTCTATACAAAGGGTTATATATGGTCCCAAAGGGGTATATGGTTCCTTTTTCTATACAAAGGGGTATATGGTTCCTTTTTCTATACAAAGGGGTATATGGTTCCTTTATCTGTACAAAGGGGTGAATGGTTTCCTTTTCTATACAAAGGGGTATATGGTTTCTTTTTCTATACAAAGGGGTATATGGTTTCCTTTTCTATTTAAAGGGGTATATGGTTCCTTTTTCTATTTAAAGGGGTATACGGTTTCCTTTTCTATACAAAGGGGTATATGGTTCCCTTTTCTATTTAAAGGGGTATATGGTTCCTTTTTCTATACAAAGGGTTATATGGTTCCTTTTTCTATACAAAGGGGTATATGGTTCCTTTTTCTATACAAAGGGGTATATGGTTCCTTTTTCTATACAAAGGGGTATATGGTTCCTTTTTCTATACAAAGGGGTATATGGTTCCTTTTTCTATACAAAGGGGTATATGGTTCCTTTTTCTATACAAAGGGGTATATGGTTCCTTTTTCTATACAAAGGGGTATATGGTTCCTTTTTCTATACAAAGGGGTATATGGTTCCTTTTTCTATACAAAGGGGTATATGGTTCCTTTTTCTATACAAAGGGGTATATGGTTCCTTTTTCTATACAAAGGGGTATATGGTTCCTTTTTCTATACAAAGGGGTATATGGTTCCTTTTTCTATACAAAGGGGTATATGGTTCCTTTNCTAATCTGATGTTGAATGTCGTCGTCTTTCATATTTAAAATTTTTTAATAATTAAAAATAATTGTGTCTCGTTATAATTTATCAGAACGTTACGATCGTTACCTTATGTGTATCTCGCGAGGCGCCCACGTTCTCGCGCAAATCTTGTCCATAGGTTAAATTGTGTATCTGTTGATGTGCATCGGGTCTCATTTGTGATAATTGTGTCTGTGTAAGATTCATCGGACTGGGTTCAGATCGGTAATTCTGTAAAGGATGTTCATCCATAACGAAAATATCTCGGATAAATTGATAATTTTGCGAATTTTCCACCGAGAAGACAGACTGGTTCACTGTTCAAATCCAATATGGCGACTGAAAACGCCACTAACCGGGGAGAGTGGGCTGTTTGGACGGGCCGGGCCGGGAGGCCGAGACAGTGAACAGGCCGACGTGGGACACCCGGCTATAGCAACTCTTATCTAACTTTTTAACTTTCTTTCACGTCGATTATTACAATATTTTATTTTCATTTTCGGACAATAAAATATACAAGATAGACATATATAGAAGGTACTATAGACATGACAAACAGACAAAGACGGATAGACATAGAAAAACAGACATAGACAGTCGACCGACATAGACACTGACATACAGACATAGACAGGCAGACATATGTTCCTCTCATAAATGTTTGAAAACCTTTAGATATTTATAAGACAAATAGACAAAGACAGACAGACATGAACAGATAGACATGAACAGAGAGACATGAACAGACAGACATGAACAGACAGACATATGAACAGACAGACATGAATAGACAGAAATAGACACTAGACAGACAAAGACACTAGACAGACAAAGACACTAGACAGACAAAGACACTAGACAGACAAAGACACTAGACAGACAAAGACACTAGANAAACTATTTTTTATCAATTAGGACAATTATGATGCTTTCACATGTAATTTGTGATGCTTTGTGTAACCTAACATAACCCAAGCTGCGGAAATCTCTAAAATATCTTTAACCTATAGGGAAACATCAAAAATGTCATTTCAAGATATAAGTCACCATTTGAAGACAAACTCAATAGACCTAATCATGTCTAAGACACTTTTCTAAGTCAAAGTTTTGTCTAAGACACATTCTAAGTAGAAAGACAAACAGATGTACATATACTAGACAATAAGACAAATAAACAGGCATTCAGAAAAACAGAAAGACAGATTTGCAGATATATTTTAGACAAAAAGCCAGTTAGACAGCCAGATTGACATGTAGAAAGACAAAAAGGTAGACAAATAGAAAGATAGACAGGTCCTGACGGGCCAAACTAGAAGTGATAAGATTATAAGCAGGAATGCAGAAAAACAGATATTTTAAATGTTGATAATCCACGAATGAAAGCACAAAGATCTGCAAAATTATTTTATTTTTGTTAATAAATGTACGATAAATATATTACTAGAAATATACAGATATACAGGTAAAAAGATATATTATACTGATAAAAAGTATATACATGGAATACAGATGATATAGAAAAAATATGTAAACAGATAAACAGATTAACATATATGCAAATATACAGATATAAAAACAAACAGATAAACAGATGATATTTGGTAGCATATTAATGGTATCACCTAAATAACATATACAAAGATATACAGATCCATAACAAATAAAAAATTTGAATCCGTCTTACGGAACCTTTCCTATGCGATACGGGTTATCCTTGGGTTATCCAGAGATTAGTATGTTTGCTACGACACTCAATAGCGTGTATATCAGTCTACTCTAGATTCTTAGATTCGTTTGTTGCAAACAGTCGGTGCAATTGACCTTTTGTGAAAGCAAGTATCTTTTTCCTACATTGGCTTACATGGCTCATGGATATGAATATAGAGTCGTGCAATTCCTGGATAAGGATATCTAATGACCGTTCTTATCATCATCCGATCCTGAGTGAGTCTTTGAGTACTCAGAATAGAGACCTCGGTTACTGAAGACATTGTAACCCATTTATACATTTGGTGAACTGGAAGCTTGCAAGGATTTTTCCAGTTTCCCTGCTCACCTCAAGTCCGGACACCAGAAGGTGCTAAATAGTTTCTGTGCAGTCGATTTCTGCTCCCTGGGTTCATGTTCGCTGATGGGATCATGGGATGGTGTGTTTGATGTTAACCAGCTTATAGAAAGAGTTGAATCCCACTGCAGTGAGATTTTGGAGCAATTAAAGCAGATATAATCGCTGTAATGTTCTAAGGCATCGCGCCTACAATTGCGGCTCTCATCTACCGTTTTACTTTGGGCTGAAAAATTGCAAGAACCCAAGATCTGTGGTAGGGATGAGGCTTAATCAACTAATCAACTACTTGCAAATGAAGATGCTGTTTAAAATAGAGATATAAAACTATTTCAACACTTCCCTCCCCCACCCCCCATAAGTAAACCTATTTCATTTATATTTTTGTAACCTATAAATATGCGTTCTTTAGTTCAATTACCCCAGTTGTGGTCAACTTATTTACTTGTACCTTATTATACCCATCAGTAACAAGACCATTAACTATTAGTGAAGTAGAAGGATCTTGTCAAAACAAAACTTGATTGTATTCATGAAAAAACTATATTTAATTAAATTTTTGAATTTTTTTGTAAAGGGTGACCATTAAAACATGAAAATCTAAATAAAAAACTATGGTAATTCATAATTATCTAATTATCTTCAAAACTTTACGTTTTATGTTTTAGGTATTTAGATCTTTAAAAGGAGATTCCAAAAATATCTTTAAATTTTTCTAGCAAAAAAAATTGACCATTTTATAGATTCAAAACTAAATTACAGGGTGTTCTTTTGGTTTTTTTCCGAATTCAAAATCTTGTTTTTTTGCTTTTTTAAAATTGAAAATTAAAAAAAAACAATTTTGAAGTTACTCAAATATAACATATGTTTTGAAAACAGGGAATCCTAAGGAAAGTGCAGGAAAAGACAGGACAACATTTAGTTTAAGAAAAAAGGCACTTAAAAAACCTCACCCGGTCAAAATTGACCTTCTCGTCACTAATGGGCTAATTATAGACAGTTCAACACAGATTCTTTTTATTTACGGATCCTATATACCTGGATTTGTAGAGAGGACAGAGTTTGTGATAGATTAAAACAGCACATTTAGGCTGATAGAAACAAAGGAGGAGTATAGGCATTTTCTACATGCAGATAAACAGATATAAATATAAAAAATTATGCAAATAAACATAAAAACAGATAACAATATAAGCAGATATACAGATAAACAGATAAACATATATACAGATAAACGGATATACAGATTAAAGACAAACAGATAAACAGATAAACAGATAAACAGATTAACAGTTTAACTGATAAATATTTAAACAAATAAACAGACAAACAAATAAAAAGATATACGGATAAACAGTTAAACAGAATTACAAATTAACATATAAACAGATATACAGATAAACAGATATACAGTTAGATAGATATACAGATAAACAGATATACAGATATACAGATATACAGATATACAGATATACAGATAAACAGATATGCAGATATACAGATAAACAGATATACAGATATACAGATAAACTGAAATACTGATAAACAGATATACAGATAAACAGATATACAGAGAAACAGATATACAGATGAATAGATACACAGAAAAACAGATAAACAGATATAAAGATATACTGATAAACAGATATACAATTAAACAAATAAACATTTATACAGATAAATATAAATAAAGATAAACCGATATGCAGATAAACAGATAAACAGATATACAGGTATACAGGTATACAGATATAAAGGTATACAGATGTACAGATAAACAGATAAACAAAGAAACAGATAAGCCAAAAAACAAAGAAACAGATAAACAGAGAAACAGAAATGCATATATGAAGATGTACAGATACACAGATATACAGATAAACATATATAAAGGTAAACAGATATACAGATAAACAGATATAAAAATAAACAACTATAAAGACAGACATTTTTACAGATAAACATATATTTATGAAAATACACAGATAAACAGATCTAACGCTTGTTATCAATCAATCATTAAACCCGGAAGGATGTTGGTTTATTACGGGATTGTTTCAACCATGAAGATTAAAAACATAATATGAAGGTATAGTACAGTATAATATACTATGGTAAAACAATAGTTCAAATCAAATAATCTAATCAGAGATTAATTAGGTTCAGTGCAGGAGGGGGGAGATATTAAATTATAATTGTCAGGGGTAAAAGGGGAAGAAGCTTCTAAACTTTTATTTATATATGGAAATGTGGAAGAAGTAGAAAAATCAAAACAGGAAAGGAATTATTAAAAAAGAATGAGATAAAGTAAAAGAAGGAATAACAAGAATAGAAGTAATAAAAAAATGGAATAAAAACCGAAGGCTAATAAATAGGTAAGGCAATAGAAGTAGAAGTATATACGTAGAAGAGGAAGGAATATGAAAGGAAGGTGAAGAAGGAGAAGAAGGAGAAGAAGGAAAAGAAGAACGAGAAGAAGGAGAAGAAGGAGAAGAAAGAGAAAAAAGAGAAAAAAGAGGAAAAAGAGAAGAAGGAGAAGAAGGAGAAGAAGGAGAAGAAGGTGAAGAAGGAAAAGAAGGAGAAGAAAGAGAAGAAGGAAAAGAAGGAGAAGAAGGAGAAGAAGGTGAAGAAGGAGAAGAAGGAAAAGAAGGAAAAGAAGGAAAAGAAGGAAAAGAAGGAAAAGAAGGAAAAGAAGGAAAAGAAGGTGAAGAAGGAGACGATGGAAAAGAAGGAAAAGAAGGAAAAGAAAGAGAAGAAGGAGAAGAAGGAGAAGAAGGAGAAGAAGGAGAAGGAGGAGAAGAAGGAGAAGAAGGAGCAGAAGGAGAAGAAGGAGAAGAAGGTAAAGAAGGAGAAGATACCTTACAGCTATAGTAGGAACTACAGAACTACTCATCCGTGCCTTGTTATCACACAATAATGCCTTGTAGAGATCAAAAAAAACATTTCAAATTATTTAAATATTTCAAATTATTTAAATATTCAAAAAAGTGTTTATATTTTATATTCATCTCTTTCCCTGGTTATCATATCATTTCTACAATATAGTAGTTATAAATTGTTTATTTTGTAAATTCACTTCCGAGTTTAATTTTTAGATTTTTAGATTGCTATTTTACATTTGTGTTTGCGCAGTCCAGATTTGGCTGTAGACAGGGCAACATGGTGTTAGTCCTTCTTATTCTTAGGAATATATTCAATATTCAATAAATTTAATAACTAATTTATTAACTTTTGACAAAAAAGACTTATTTAACTTCGAAAACGTTACACAAGTTTTTATAAATCTTCAATATATATTCATCATTTCCAAAATAAAATTTGGTAAAACTTAAAGATTTATATAGTTTGTTCATATCATTTTTTTTAAACATAATTTAATTAGAAGAATTTTAAACATTTTTCTCGACATTACGAATGACATCACATTTCATCCTGGTAAACGTGGTTTTTAAAGAATACTAATGTGAATATTTATAATCTACCACTACTAGAAAATGAATATTATAATAGCCCTTAAATTTAATACAACAATATTAACACAAAACCGCACAAACAAAGTCTTGAACAATTAAAAGAGTTTGTTTGGATAAATAAGATTTAAAGGGTACCGTTAGGAAACGTAGGTGTCCCTTTTTAATGGGAAGGTCACTTAAATTTACGCATACAGCCCCTTCAAGAAACAAAAAATTTATTAACTATGTATATTTAACTTAAGAATCTGTTGATACATTCATTCGTTCATAAAAAGTCTATTTTTCAATTCATCGATCTTCAGAGTTCCGGCCCCCATTATACTACTTTAATATTTAAATAATATTCTCATTTATTCATTATTTGAATATCGTAAAATAGTGTTGTTGGTGTCTCCATAAGTGAGTGTGCAATCTACAGGCCAACTGGAGATTCTGTAATGCGGCTCTCACAGGCTGGTGGTCAGCTCCTACTTGAAGAGGGTCATCTTTCCCAAAATTTCTATAGAAACAAACGGATTGCGAAGGTATTTCATAAAAAGTTTTGTAACGAAAGTTTTTCATATTTTTAAATTATAGAATAGCGAGTTCAGAGCAATGGAAAAATCAAACCGGTTTAGTCAGGATGATTCAAACTCAGTTATTTCTGAATACCCAGAGCAGGATATATCAGCTTATCAACGTGGATCCATCTCTCCGGTCAACATTGAGGCGTTGGAAACCAGAGCTCAGGGAAACCTAAACTTCTTTGAAGATATCTTTTCAAAAGTATTGTAAAGCAAAATTTGATTTAAAGAAACACAGATAAATGATATCCAATGAACTCAGCTTAAACTAAACTAAAAAACTAAATAATCCCCGCGAAGTGACCTCAGAAGCCTTCTGATCTGCAGAATGACCGTCTCCACGCCTCTCGATACGCCTCCAAGCCTCCGCTATTCTGTCTCCACGCCCTGCAGTTAGGTCTTAATAAAAGCATAGTTGGCTTTTCAATTCACAAAAAAAAATTCAACAATCTCAACATGATTAAATAGTTTATTACATTGCATATAATTAATTTGTATTAAAAAGTCTAAATTATTGAGATTAAGACTTTTATTTTTGTTTTAACATTCATGAACTTGTAAGAAACTATTGCGATTTTAAAAGTAGACAAAGGAATTGAGTCTTTGCCACAAACTCAAATTTTATAATCCATATATCAATGGAACCTCATCTTGTAGACTTTTGATATTTCAAACTAAGATAATTTGATGCAACAGAATTCATAGTTTGAAATATCTTAGGTCTACGACATTGGGTTGCAGAGATATAGGAATTAGAAAATCAGAGTTTGTGACAAAGACTCAATTCCTTTATTATTCAACAGGCTTACCATTAGAATTTACCATGTACGAGCATCAAACTGTATGAGCTCCAATTCACTAAAAACAATAGTTTTTGAGAAATACAAGAACTTAGGATTTTATCATAAGCTATGCGTAAACTTTTCACAAGTTACTATTAATATAATGAATTAATATTTGAAATTTGCGGATTATGATTCTTTAAACTATTTTGAATTCTACTATGAAGAGATATATTTTGATATTAGGTTGGTTAAACCATAATAGGTAAACAAAAATAAGAACTATACTAGTGGAGATCATATTATGATGCGTGGAAACATAATCGCACAGGCTTGGAGACGTGACACTAGGCACCGAGATGGTTTGTGGGGCTTGGAGGTTATTCTGGGTGTCAGGGGACACCAGAGGTCAAGGTGCTCATGGAANCAGATAAAAACTTTTTTTTTTGTTTGTAGCAGAATTTGTCTAAGTTAAACTTAATTTGGTAATTCTTCTCGTATGTATTACAGTTTTTATTAAAGTAATCAATGCCTGATTTTCAACCGATCTTGGTTTGCTTTGGTTTAGTTACAAAGATATAAAAATTGTGTAGCAATTTTAAGACTTGGCCGACTTTGAAGTGCTTCAACGCCTTGTTGCCTTTGATTTTACTTTACTAACTCGCTTATAGATTTGTGTAGTTTTATCCAATCCATGTATATTTTAAAACAACAAAGAGAACTGTTGAAGCTTCAGCTTTAAATTAGTTTTTAAAAAATCCAGATAGATTTTTGCTTGCATCTTTGAATTGTTGTTCTGAGAAAGCACTTCAGATTGCAGGTTTAAAATTTTTAGCACACATAGACCAAGAGAGTTGCAGTTCCCTTGTTTTGTCTTCTCATTTAAAAAAAAAGTTGTTTAAACAATTTGATCAGGATCTAGCGATGTCACAAATCTACGAACTGGATTCATCACATTGCTTCGAAAAGTAAATATATATTCAATTACATAAGAAATATGCAATCATGTCTGAATGTATAAAATTGATATGAATATGGAGTATAAAATTACAGAATCCTGCAGATTAAAGCTGCCAACATTTCGATACTAAACTTCCCGTTTAGAAACAGAAATAGCTCTTTGGATTTGAATTTTATTTAAATTTTTAAATTTTTCGATAAGAATTCCGATTTTCGTCTTTTTATTTTATTTGTGAACATAATAATTTTTATATTTTCTGAATTAGTAAAGTATGACGTACACTTAAACTTAAATTGGAAATACAACAAATCATATTTAAAATGATAAATAAACCTTCTCCTTCATTCCTCTCATTTCCAAAAATAAAAAAAATCATTTTTAAATATGAAACAAAGCTCTTTATTTAACGTTTTTTATTCCACAGGATTTGTGAATTTTATATTTATTTTATTTTTAATATCAGTATCAGTGAAATACTTTAGATATGCAGGGAAATTTGAATTGATATAGCTAAATACTACATAATATCTAATTTTTTTCTCTAATGCTATTTCAATGTCCGACCATAACCCTGAAGAAAAAAACCGTCGTTCAACGGTTCAAAATTTAATCTATATATCTATGTACTTAAATTCGGAGATTAAAACCCCCAAATTCTTAGTGGAGAATAAGGCTCACTGTTGAGTCTTGTTCTCATAAAAAAAAATGCGCCAATTCCTACCATGAAAATCCGACAAATACGATATTAAACCGATTTTTTGAACTCAACTCTGTGGAAAAACAAGATGCAGTTTGAATCCGAAAGCTCAAGCCGTAAATAATGCCCAACGGCAGCTTACACCCGAGTCGTATTTTCTCGAGGTTTTTTAAATCGTGGGCTTAGACTCATTGTTGCATGGTAATCTATATTTTTTAATCTTTTTATCTAAACCCATGTAATTTCGCTTTTATAGGCTATACAAGGCTCAGAAGGATGATTTCTGCAGCACACCTCTTCCCTACGGACTCTAATTAATTTCTGAAAGATTTCATTTTTACTAAATTTTGTTATTTATTGATTTTCAAACTTGTTTTGTCTTAATAAAGATAATGTATGATTTCTGTATACACTCCTCTGTCCTGCGTACTCTTAACATATTAAAATTTCTTACAGTTTTTCTATTTGGATGTAAAAATTTTTCTACAATACAATTTTTGTTGAACCTTTTTTTAAGGATCGGAGTTAGATAAAAAACAATTTAAAAAGACTTTTGATGAAGCCTAAAAGATCATACTCATACTGAGATGTTCGCCAAACTAATTGTTAAACATATATTTTTGATAAATATCAAAATGGGGTTGATATGATGAGAACCTAACTCCGTGATATGTTTACCAATCAGATTAAAATTTATTGGTTTTAATCTTATGGCTTTCACTGAATTTTTCCAAAAACTGGTATTAATTTGGGGCGCAAACCCTAAACGATTATCATTTTATTAATATAATGAAAATCTCAATGATAAAAGTAATATTTAACGTTAACATTTAACGAAAGTAGGCCCGGTTAACAAAATATTATCTTTAAACCCTGCTTTCAACTTTTTTTTATTTTTTTCAATCATATTAATTTGTCTGATACTAAGTAACATATAGATAAATATTTACAATTCAAATAATGTAAACAAAGTATATTAAAAATATAATATAAAGGAGTAATATCTGTTATGATGTTTGTATGTCCTATCATAACCCGTGAGCTATTGCTTCAAACTTTGATTGTGGAACTCGGTAGATCAACAGGAATGTTCTGAGCTATAGGTTTAAAAATTCTAAATTAAAGGGACTGTAAAGGAAAAATGAAAGGGGGTATAGGATAAAACCTGAGGATCTCAGGAGTTAATTGAGACATAAAAGAGTTCTATCTGATGTTCCTGTCTCGAGAAATTGATATAAAACAGTGTCAAAATTACACCAAAACATATATATGTAAGATTTTGTATAAGATTCGTAGTATTAAACAGATCATATTCAACAAATACGCAACCAATCTGAAAACAACGATACCCCAGAGAAGCCTGAGAAACTAAAGTTTGCTCCTATTATTATTTGAATTTAATAATTTTTCAATTTTAATAGATATAATTAATAATATTATTTATGCGTCCCGAAAATGTAACCATAACTCCAACCATCATTGTCACGTGATACGGACATATATACGGTTTGGTATAATTTTGACACAGTTTTATGACAATTTCTCGAGACAGGAACATCAGATAGATGTCGTATAGGTATCGTTCAACTCCTGAGATTCTCAGGTTTCATCCTATACCTCCTTTCATTTTTCCTTTACAGTACCTTTAAGTGGGTTGACTTTAATAGTGAAAGATTTTGTTTGCAGAGAAAGTTGTGTTCCCAAGCTATAGTATATTATATAGCTCTTAAAATGAAAATGTTAGAATTCACGGATGACTTTCGTTTAAAAATTCCATAAACTGAGAAGAGTCGAGAAGGATGGACCGACAAATTGAACAATGTTCCTTCATGTATTACACTGCCGAAGTTGGCAAGGCGTAAAGACTTTTGCAAAAAGATGACATACAGAGGGGTGCACACTGGATTGCAAGAGATAACATCTTTTTATTTGACGGGTTTACTTTTTTGTAATACCCTCACCAAAAAGTTTACAAATAGGGGCACATCACTTTGTTTTACCTCCCCCCCCTAGCCTTGTACAGTGTACACCCCTGTTGACATGTGAGTAGAGAATTTTGCAAGGCATTGATTCTGGAAAGCCGAACATCAACAGGATATCCCAATAAACATGCAAAATTTAAATTTAAAATTCGATCGGATAATCAAAAACTTCATCAAATCTCACTTTATACTTATTTAAACCTATTCATTTACCCTAGCTGGAGGTAACATAGGCTATACAAGTTTTTTTTTCTTTAAAATTTGATTTTTTTCATAGTGTTTTTAATATTCCACGGGCAACGCAAAGCACTTTAGCNTAATTGATAAATTTTTGATCATTTATTTTTGAAACTTTCGAAATACAGCGCTGAGCTGAAACATTTATTCACTATTGATAGTATTTAGTATATTCCGCAAAAACTTATGATCACACCTTGTAAAATGAAGCTTTACAGGGAGTGTTTCAGAAAATGAAAGGGGATATAGGCTTACGGCGAAAAATTATCGATGGTGATCGCTACTAATCTTACTTATATCTGTTGCGTTTATAAGGAGAAAATTGCTGAAAACGACTCATACCGAAAAATGTAGCGTCCACACAAATTCAGAAAGTTGCAACATACGACTCGATAGTAAAGAAATCAATTTAATTCCAAACAAATCATTCAGATATTACAAACAATAGTCATCAATAATTTTTCGACGCATTCGTATATAGTTAATATTTCATTATATTTTTATATTTTTTATGATCTGAGAGTTACTTTTGAAAACATTTATTCCCGTTTCGAAGATGTTTGATAATGAAGACGACATTTTTATATTTTCCAGGAATGTTCGAAAATCCAGCGCCAGCCGTGAAAAAGTTGATTTAATGCTCATAAATGTTTAAAAGATCGATTAAATAATATATTTATTTATAAACAATAAATTTATACATAATAAAACAAAATTCGTGAGAAAAAGTTTTAACAGTGTAACATGGAAAAGCTCTCCAGATAATAATATATTACAGAGTACTCATGAAAATGTTTGAAAAATAAGTATATCTACCCACGAAAATACAAGAAAATACAGGTATTATGAAAAAGACTATAGTATAATACAATGTTCATGAAAAAAAATGAAATATTATCCATGACTAAAAGATAATAATTCAGTTTCTTTTCCAAAATGTTTAAAAGATGATATTACGAGTCAAAAGAAAATGTTTAAGAATATCTTTAAAATATCTATTTTGAAGGTTGCTAGGCTTAACATAGAGATGATTGATCTTCTAAATTTGCACTTCAAGGTACATTCTTTACTTTATCTTTATCTTTATCTTTATCTTTATCTTTATCTTTATCTTTATCTTTATCTTTATCTTTATCTTTATCTTTATCTTTATCTTCATCTTTATCTTCATCTTTATCTTTATCTTTATCTTTATCTTTACCTTTATCTTTATCTTTATCTTTATCTTTATCTTTATCCTTATCTTTATCTTTATCTTTATTAACAAATTACAATGGGGGATTTGAAAACGGCAGTTAACGGATATATGTATTTATTCGTATTTATTCTTTTTCTATTTAACATTTTTACTTTAATACATCTTGTTTTTAATGCTCTTTTCCTAATATTTGCCGATATTTCAGAAGATATCTATTTTAGATTGCTTTTTTTCCGTTTCTATTGTTCTATCATAGCTAATATTGTTTAATTTCAACATTCACTCTTCCCAGTCTTTCATGTTCTCTTGTCAGTTTTCCCTTTTGCTCCCCCCGTTCCCATCCTCCCTTATATCCCTCTTTTTCTTTCTTTTAAATAGTTTGAGATTTTATCAATTAAATAAGTTAGAATCAATTCAAGGTCATTCAAGGAAAGAGAAGTAAACAGTATATATATACAGGACTTTCGTATCATGTGACAACATAGTAATCAGCTCGGACTTAAACACAGGGACAAAAGAATTTATGGTAAATTGATAATTCTATTGTTTATAACTCGAAGTATCATGAGAGGTGAAGAAAGTGCTTGATCGGTGACTCACACAAAAGTCCTTTTTCCTGCATTATAGGGGGTCCCTTTTTTACACAACCACAAACGGTTTGCTTAAAACTTTTAACATTTTCCGAATTCCCAAAAATCGTATAGCCTAACTTCAGGCTTATAAACGAAATATTATACCAACTGCCTTAATTCCTATAGACATACTGGCTAAATGACTGTCAAACTGTCATTTTTTTTAAAGAGTCAATTACAAAAGGAAGCAGATTTTCTATGTTTTTCAAAGGGTTCAAAGAAATTTTACTTTGGATTTTAGTCGTACATTTGATGAAAAACAAGATCTTAGAAATAAAATCTTGGATGATTTGCCCTGCTTAACATCTGTTACTATATAAAGCATTAGCTATAGAAGCATTAGTAATAGACGCAATAGTTACAACAGCATCAGTTATAGAAGGATCAGTTATAGAAGCATTAGTTACAGAA